TTGAAACGAGAAAGACAGAAAACAGGAGAGAGAGAGATGTCGGGATGGTGTGAAACAGAGACAGACACCTGTACGATGAATACTGAGTGATGGAGGGAAAACAGCCTGATCGGAGGCCTAGCGAGGCACGAGACTCGACAACACTGGGAAAGGCCTGACGCTGAACAGGAACTGGATATTGAATTTCAAAGGCACAAACAACATTCAGCTTCCTCTTCCGTGTGCCCTGTTCTCATAGGAGGCAAATACCTCTCTGTGCGAGGCGGGGTCAGTGATCAATAACCAGGAGAAAGTGGCCGCTAGCCTTGATCCTAATTAGTGCAGGGTTAGAGCAGATTAGCCAGCACCTGAGCCCCTATCTCAGCCTTTCTCCAACAACAACTCCCTCCCTGATCGGGCAACACAGGAGCATCGGCATAATTCAGGGATACACAGTAATGCAGGAGGGGGGGGCTAAGGACAGGAAAGCTGCTTCTTCCCTACATCTTTTTTTTTTTTTCCCCCCCTGCTGTTGGGGATATCAAACATGCAGTTAAAAAAAAACTTCAAGGTGGGGACAGGTGGGTCCTTTAAGGAGGGGAGTAATAATGATGGTTCTCATGGCAACAGAGGGGATTAACTGTAAACCTTTGTTACTGCAGCCAAGTTTGCTAAACACACAGAGTTCAGGGAAAGGTTAGGACGAGGAGACCGTGAGGGGATTAGCGGGCTATGTGTTGCTCGTGTGCATGAGTTTGCTTGCAGGGGGGCGACGGATGAACACCAGACTCCACTTGTGAATTGACAGCTGCTATAAATAGAAAATACCTCGGCCCCTCACCACCACCCCCCCATAAGCCCCTGCTATTCTGTTTTACTCTAAACCATACCGCTAAATATTGTAAGCTCATTATGGAAAAGCTGTGTCCAGAGTTCACCCATCGATTGAAATGTCAATTTGATGCACTTAGGGCTCACTTTGTTTGTATTTATTCGGTCACACGCAGCAGAAGAGCACAAAAAAATATTCACAAATCGTACTCAAGTGATGGTGTAGAAATAAGAAATGTTCACTTAAATCCTGCTAACGAGTCCAGTTTAAAGATAGTAGAAGTAAAACAGACGACGCTAAATAGTCACTAGAACTCAAATTGGTGAATCACATGTTAATTTTGTTATGGAACATTTTTGGAACTTTTTTTTTTTTTTGGTGAATTTTATTTTCTTTACTCGGTGCTGTGAGTCTGTGACAATTTCTTTTTTTTTCTCTAAACTTTTCTTGTCTTAACTTCGGGCTGATATTAAATAATGTCGTCTGACTGATATTCTGTGATTTTAAATTGATGTATTTTTAATGTTGTTTTTGTGAATGGACCCCAGGTAGACCAGCAGCCACCTGGTGGAAGCTAATGGGGATCCAAATAAAGAATAAAGAATACAGAATATGCTGCTGCCACACGCATTAGGACTAAATTTACTCTGTGCTTGTGTTATCTCTTGGCTGATTCATGCATCTAAGCGTTAACAAACGACTGCTATACATTAGAAAGACCTTGGTGACAAGAAACATGTCGACTCAGCACTTGATAGTTACATAGCTGCACTTTCCTGCAACTAACATTAAAAAATATATATATTATTTGTACTTTAAACCATAAATTTTACTGTTTGAGTAAATCGAGGCTTCCATATTCATATTCACATCATGTCATATATCATTTAAACACTTCGTGGATGCGATAAAGTGCAATTAATCTCCGAATATGCAATTTGACTGAGGAATACCTACAAGGTTATCTCACTTCGTAGCCTCCAATTTGTTGCATTAAATGAGTGACTGATGAATGATTTACTGTATAAAGTGGCTTTCGGCCCATTAAAAAGCCTCCCTATAACCTGTGTCACAGGAAACCTGATACTATCAGTCAGGTGAGTAAGAGCTGACGCTGTGGAATAGGATTTTATTCAGCGTTGATTGGCTAAAACCAAAAAAAGAAATCAGTTTGTACCTCTCCACCTCACCTTGTCCCTTTTTTTCTTTAGCAGCATCCCAACTCTGGCCTGCTTCAATGAAATAAACTAAAAAAAAAAACTGTACATAGGAGCCATTCTTCCTTTAAATGAATGCATTTTCTGTTCTTTGACACGCTCCGGTTATTATTGTGACACTTTCAAACAACGGGAAAATAATACGAAAGCAAAACCTCCAGAAAAAAACACAAGCCATACTGTACTGTTGAATGTGCAGAAGGAGCCCCGTCACGTCTAACCGGCGCCGACAAGCTGCGTGTAACTGTAAAGCTACAGTATGCATTTGTGTGTCATGTTCACGGCTCCTCACCCAGCCTGACCTGGTTTGGTCTGACACTTCTGCCAGTCTGCATACACGGAGAAAAATCCCACCAGCACACACACACAAACACCGTCAGACACACTCCTACCCCCCCTCTGGTGCAAGTACATGAACACACACGACTCCAGCTGCCCATCAAACACCACTTCTCAGTTTTTGCAGGTAGCAAGACTCCCAACGGCCGAAGTAACGAATTCAATCCAAAATACAGTCGTCCTCAAATGTATTCACACCCTTCTATTAAAAAAAAAAAAGGCAAAACTCACAATAGTCACTCAAATAACTAGAAACTGAAAAAAGTAATAATAAATAAAAATTTGCTAAATTATAATTTAGTGAAATATGATGTTGCTTTTGAATTGTGGTTGAAAAGAATAATTTAAAAAAAAAAAAAAAAACTCCCCGACAAAAAAGAGAACACTGCGCAGAAGAACAGGGGCACAACACGGGCAAAAGTCTGTATATTTATTTATTTAATATATATATATATTGAACCAGAACCAAAAAGCAAAAGCAAGATCATCATTAAACTTAAATTTACAATTACTATTACCAATGTCAACTTAAACGAACTGGAGCTCTCCGTCTCCAATGGGAAGGGAAAAATACAAATAAACCCAACTGTATGCCTAAACTGACACACACACACGGATGCCACCTCCTCACCAATCTATTCATTCAGAGCCAGAGCTGCCACCAGCGATGAGGAGTCCATTAACCTGAGGGCTCTCGGAGCAGACAAGAACTTTTACACGATTTCATCCTGCCGGGGGTTTTTTGGTGGCGGCTCTCTGGCAGCTTCGCTCACATCAGCTGCAGAAATGATCACATCAGACAGCTGAGATTTCTATTAAGTGCCTCTCCGGGTGCTTTTCTCCTGATGACAAATGGGACTGGGCCTTACCTCTCTCTACTGGAGGGAGGCACCAGCGACATTAGACAAGGAAATGAGGGAAATCTAATCACGATGATGATGATGATGATGATGATGATATACATTAACAGAAGCAGACAGAAGGATTTGATTCTGGACGTCGCTAATTGCAGAGGCACCACGGTGGACACTAGAGAGCATGTGTGTTTCCTCATGTGCTGCTTTGGCCAATGTGGGCCAACTGCAGTGTGTTTGTGGTTTTGTTTTCATGAGGCTGCAATGCTGTGTGGACGAAAAAAAATTATAATGAAAGTGCTGAAACTACAGCGGCCATGAAATGAAGTAACCCCGAGTGACTCCCCTGAGACGCCAAAGATGGATTACATACCTGTGTGTGTGTGTGAAACATTTCCCCTCCCTCACACACCACGGCTCTCCTGAGATAACTCCTTTATGACTATCATTACATTAACATAACGCTGTCTAATAAACCTTCCACGGTTAATTTGAATGACTCTTGGCCCCCTGCTCATTTCCACTCAATGAACTAAACAACGTTAGTCCAGTCAGTGGATGAAGATAAACGCCCGAGAGGCTTCGACGCGCCGGGTCAGTGTTTCCACATCGAGAGCCTCGTGATATCGCTGAAGATAAATCTGAGGGGCTGCAAGACGACAAACAGGAAGGGACGCTTGTGAAGCTTTGGATGGTTTCTTTAGGGATCTTAAATATGATAACAAGTGAGTCTTTAGTTAAACTGTCACAGCCAGTAACAAGCATTTTTTTTAAAGTTATTTTTTGGCCTTTATTAGATAGGACAGTCAAAGCAGAGGCAGGAAAGAGGGGGAAGGTGTTGCAGCAAATGGCCACGAGCAGGACTCGAACCCATGATCGCTGCATCGGAGACTATAGCCCCTGTACATGGGTCGCCAGCTCAACCAGATGAGCTGTATATCCTCCCATTAAAGAAAGAAAAAACGTGTTACTGAAATTGACAAAAGTGGTAATAAATAAAAAAAATTGATGAAAATCATGGCATTGCTTTTGAATTATGGTTCAACAGAAATATTTTTAAAAAACAAGCCTGATGGGACCCGTAAACTAATATTTAGTTGAACAACCCTTTGAACCAATCACTGCCATCAGGTGTTTCCTGTAACTCTCAGTCAGACTTCTGCACCTGTTGACAGGTGTTCTGATTTCACTGCTCATCAGCAAAGTGCTCTGATTTGTCTGGGACAGTTTTTTTGTTTTTTTAAATTATTCTTTTCAACCACAATTCTAAAGCAACGTCTTCTTACACTAAATTATAATTTAGCAAATTTTTATTTATTATTACTTTTTTCAGTTTCTAGTTGTTTGAGTGACTGTTGTGAATTTTGCCTTTTCTTTAATGGAAGGGTGTGAATACATTTGAGCACGACTGTAAATAAAGGTGAGAATAAAAACTCAGCTGTGAAAAGTATTTTCCGACTATCATATAATCAAAAAAGCAACCGAATAACAATTCACAAACATCCCTGTGAGCTCGGACAACAGAGGACACCTTGCCTGCTTCCAACTTCAAACCGTTCCCGTCTTCACATTAACACCGTTTCCTCAGCTCCGGTCGAGCGATGGCCTCGGGGCGCTCGAGTCTGCGTTTCCTCTCACTCTAGAGTAGAATCTGCGTGGATACAAGGTGGTTTTCTATGTCAGAGCAGAGCGACGTAGAAAGCTACATGCTGGCATCTACTGTTCACTTCAGGCACATGCACAACAAAAAGAAAAAAAACAATCAACAACACAAAATCCTCAAATGTCCATTTAGTGTTTTAATGATTATGTTCTGTATAAATGCATTGCAAGAATCAAAAGAACACACTATACAAAATTGTGCGTAATATTTGTGGACAGAGAAGCAGGATTTTTAAACAATTGCTGTAGATTTAGACAGCTTCCATGTTGAGGTTTTGCTTTTTTTTGGATTGAACGGACACTGACAAGTATAAAAAAAATGGACCCAATGTCTCTAGAACAATGTCAGAATAAACACAGTGTGAGAATTTGAATTTCTCTCCGTCCTTGGTCGACAGCAACCTCTGAACACACTCGACCAAATCTCTGTAACGTCGGTCGATCTGTGCTTGAGGTTTAAAGCGAGCGTTTAGTCAAGGATGTGTAAACAGTTCTGGAAAAGGCACATGATTATGGTACGCTCTGTACATCTGCTCATTTGGTGGAAGAAGAAAAGAGGAATGTTTTCCATTGGCACCAGAAGTTATGTTCTGTTCTACAGCATCGTTTTAGAGCACAGCATGTCGAAAATACAACAACAATCCTCCACCGGCGTACGCTACGAATCGATACCCTGATACATCTAGGGAGACACTTTCCTATGCGAAGAACCACATACGTAGCGCTTTCCCTTTCTCTTCTCAAGCTGCATAGTTCTCAAGCAATATATTTACTCCTCCTCCTCCTCTGATCTGATTCCAGTTAGTTATCTACATTTTCAAGTATTAAGAGATCCATCTCAGAAGTTTATTATTTACAGGTCTCCCTCTACCAAGCATTAACACTCTAAGACAAAGATTTGGGAAACTGCTGTGAAATCCCACAACTTTGGACTGCATTAGACTGAAAGAAGCTACTGATTGTTGCAAAAAAAAAAAAAAAGAAAAGAAAAAAAAAAGTCAGTCTGGTTGCTCTTAGAAAACTTCTGACTCGTGTCGCGCCAAAGCTGCAGGCAGCGTTGTTCCACACGGACCCTGGAAATGGTACCTGCACCACATCACACACAGAAAGACAAAGCAGGGTCAGACTTTTAGGTTAGATCACTGAGTTGAATTTACTTTGGAGTGGAAGACCAGAGGGCTGTGCTACGAAGCCA